CCATGTAAAAAAATATTTTGAAAAAAGTAAATACTTTTTGAGATAATTGGTGTACTCACTTAAAAGAATCACCCTGTATATCATGAATTTTCTGATAAATATTTTTAATCGCCATATACATTAATAGTTCAATATATTTTAAATTTAAATTTTACGATTTAACAGATGGTTGGATGCCTATTCCTCAAGCCATACCTCAAAACTGTCCAAATGGACTCCAGTATCTTTCAACAATTAATCAATTACTTGTTAAACAGCAAGTGGAAGTAATAGAAGGTAAAAAGTTAAWTTAGCATATAAGCACCTATAATTTAAGTTTGGATTTAGTATAAAATATAGAAACTCTTGGTTTTAAATAATTATATTTACCTATTCTTTTCAATAACTTTTTCGAGAAGCTTAAGGTACAATTATTTCACAGATACTAATTGTATATCAAATATCAAATACATATTAGATATAACCACAGATTACATTAATATATTATATATAAATAAAGATTTATATATTCTGTGATTAATCTATAATTTTTTCTATTCTTATTTTCTTACATAAATAATTAGATTTGAAATATTTTAAAATTCCAATATTTCAATAGTATACAATAATTAAGGTTTGGAACCTCTTGCATTTGTATGTTTTTTTGTAGTGATCGTAATTTATTCTAAGCGAGTTATAAATTTGTTTCATGAAATGACGAAATTAAATACTAAGTTTAATTTTGTATATTTMATCACATTTTAAGATAAGTGCATATTTGAGCAATTTTTAGCATATTTTGCATCTTTATATTTTAAAAGTAAAATTGATGGGAAAAATTTTAATTTTCTGTACGTCTGTTTATGATAACTAGTCTTTTTATCGCCAATATTGATAATTATATAGTCATGGTAAAACYTAATGAGTTCTATTCTCCTACAGACTTATCTTTTTTATTATATATAGGTACCTACTCACATTTTAGATTTTAAATTTTCTAATTATGATATACTTTAAGTGTTTTTTTAAAAACAAAATATCAAATTAGTCGTATGCTTTGAAGCATACTCTGACAATTTTAATTGCATATTTCTATTATCTAAAGAGGAGAAGACGTCATCCAGTAGTAATACTCAGATACAATAGACTACATAAAAGAAAATATTATGTACAATATACATATATATTAGTTTTTTTTTTTAACATTTTAATTTAATAATTAATAATTTTTTTTTCATTTGGCAAACTATAGGTAGCTCAATTTAGATAGTCTGAAAAATAAAATCCATATTTTGGTCATCCTCCCAAAAATAATAAAATATTACAATTAATTTTATTGGTACACAGTACTTATATTGATGGCATTACTTATACAGTATTATTTTACATTCTTAGCTGATTTTTCTATATCTAAATGGCCTGATGTGACAAAATGTATTTGCCTATGTTAATATGTATTTTATAATATTTACCTATGAATTTTTCTTTATCTAGGCACGGATTGATAAAAAAGGGCACGGGATGCTACATAATTTAAAGGGCAAATAACTAAAATATTTGGGGCAATTTTAAAATATGTTGATTATTTATTTTGTAAAATATTGAAAATACGTAAAAAATACCTTAATAAGTACCAAGTTTCAATATACATTCAAACAAAATTATACAATATTAGATACAAAACAAATCAGATTAAACATATTTTAGGGCAAAGAATGCTGTAGCATCTCAATCAGTCCATGTCTGGCTATGTCACAACACTAGTGCCTTTTAAGCTCTTTTAAGTGAATTATCAGGAATGTTAACCAAATTAAGTGTAGAAATTAGTGAATTTTTATGGTTTGCAAGTTGGAACTGGAAGCGCTTGTAGTAGGATGTAGCCCCTTTGGCAATAGTCTCTWTACGAAAATCTTTGTGACAGAAAGGGACATAAGTAATTGTAAAGARTAATATACATAGATTGGAACGTTTTTATTTTATAAATGCTATATTTTTTTTCTGTTCCGCATATTTGGACACCATAAGTCTAAATAGGCTTTAAAAGAGATTTGTAAAACAAAAGCTTACACTTAAAGTATTTCAGATGAATGTGAGTTAATAAATGTGTGAAATAATAAGAATGTGGATTCAAAAATGTTTTCCTGGTTATATTGTACTATCTAGAAATTGATCTGATTTGATTGACCTATTGTAAAATTATCCTCATACATGCTGTACCGAGGTAATGAACCATATCAATGATATGACACAAACACCTTTGTACATCCTTTATTCACATCGGGTTGGGCTAGCATATTTCTGATAAATCTGCTTTTCTTTAATAGAATATTATATTTTCATGAAAGTAATCATTTAGTGACAAATACACTTAACGTATAAAAATATTCCTTTTCTACTTTATACTAATTAATAATTATGATTGTTTTTAATTTATTATTATAGCCTTATTAGGGTTCGAGACCAATAACAAGTATACAATTAAAAACAGTGCTGGCCAAAAAGTATTTTATGCTGTGGAAGATAATGATTGTTGTACACGGAATTGTTGTGGACCAATACGTCCATTTGAAATGAAAATCTTAGATAACTATAAAAACGAAGTTATTCATTTATCAAGGCCTTTAGCATGCCAATCTTGTCTTTTTCCTTGTTGTTTACAGGTATGATAATTTATAATTTMTRRWWT